ATATGTTATTTATAATAATAAATATATTGTAATTATATATATTATATTATAATATAATATAATATTATCGTTATTTTTAATTATTTCAGTTATTATTTTAAGAATATTATTATATTATATATCATAATTATATAATATATTATATAATAATAATTTTTTATTATATTAAATATAATAATAAATATATATTATATTGCAATTATATATATTATATTATAATATAATATAATATAGTCATAATTTTAATTATTTACAGTAATTTAACATCATAATTTATCAAATGCTATTACACTGATTTTGAAACCATTACAACTATTATAATTATAGTTTACCAAACAGTCAGTTATTTTTTGTAACAACTGCTTTTTCTTTCAGCACAACTAAAAGTAATTTTTTCAAAATCTACAATAATACCAAACTAAGCCATTGAATACTAGAGTCGTGTTTTTTTTTTTTAAATTTGTGATTTTTTTGGTTTAGTTTTGAGTTTTCTCAATACCGGGGTAGTATTATGGGTTGAGTTTTGCATGTGGGTTCACTTTAAAACTTGAAATTTCATCACATTGAGCTCTATCCATGCAAAAACAGATTGAAAACAAGCGACCCAACTCGATTCACTGACGAAACTATTTGAACAAAACTTTGTTCCCTCCAAGTGAAAAATGGACAACAAAAAAACAAGTCCTAAAAGTACAAAAACTGTTTGAGGTGTTAAAATGGTGTTTCAAGTTGGGTTCAGAATAAAACAGTTGTGTCAGGTCCATATAATCACCACCCCAATGTTGGACAATGGACAGGTCCATATATGGTATTATTGGCGAGGGAAAAAAAAAAAAAAAAGTTTGCCTGAAACAATTTCCTGCCTGAGCTCAGATTGGGAAAAAAATTCTTTCATAAGGTAACAAAAAAATACCTTATCATATGTTGTAGTATTTTGAATGGTCACAATTTTATCACGTGCTGTTAAATATCTGAATTCTAATATGATTTTGATTGATCGACCATTTTCTTTATAGAGATTCTTGCACTATGGCATGAAAAAAAAAAAAAAAAAAATTCCCTATTAGTGTTCTCATTTAAAGGTTAAATTTTATCAGTTGTGGAGTTTAATTTTACCCGACTGATTTATTGCTTTACATAGAGGATTCATGAATCAATCAGGATTTCATTAATTTAGAAAAATTACAGCGACGAAAGAAGGGCGTAGCCTCACATTAAAACGAACCTCTATAAATTTTGTGTCCGTTTTTGCTTGATCTTTTTGGTGTTTTTATTGCTCTTGATAATATAGAGTTAAGGTGTCTAATTAGTTTTGTATATTTTCTTATTACGATGTGAATCTAAACTGACAACAGTGAAAAGCTCCTTTTTTTTTACCCACCATTGAATTTTTCTAAACTACTTTTTTCATCCTAAAATGTCAGATACTATAGTTTCCCTTGTGGCTCATCCTTTTGTAAATTTTTACTTTTGAGGCATCAAATCTGGATCTACATGGTTGTCTGCATTTTGTTCTAGTTGTGCAACCCCACACTGTTAAATCAGCTTTTCTTTCTTGTAGAGTCTGAGAATCTGAAAAAAAATGAAAAAAAAAAAAAAAAAAAAAAAAAAAAAACCCCCCCCCCCCCCCCCCCCCCCAAAGAAGTTCTTTTGATTGTGTTTGCGTGTGCATACTAACAACATAAGAAACACAGATCTGCAACAATCTGATCAAAAAAATCATGTTTGATTTCAGAAACCACTTTTCTTTGTCTTTTCGTTTATAGTGGGGACACAGTTTCTGGAATTTACACGACTGAACTAAAATGAATGGTACTCCTTTTGGTCATGTCCGGCTACTCTAATTAAGGGTGGTGTGATTAGACTCTAAAATGAGCTTCAACGTCCTATTAACATAAATTTGGGTGGTCTATTTCGAGAAAAATTCAGCACTTCTACATATTACAGAACTGAAAAAAATTAACGTTTGGTTCATGGATTAGAATCATATTATTAGAATTATTTTTAATTTACATGTATTTTTTGTGAGAGAAAACATTATAGTGAACCATGAACCATGATTCAAATCATAGTTTGAATCCTCCAACCAAACATCCTCTAAAAATTTATGGAAATATTTTTTTATCCCTATTGGGTAATAGTCCCGTCACACACAGGATTGGACCACACGTGAGACTCGCAAGTAGGACTCATCCCTTGAGTGATAGAGCTACTACACAATCGGAGAGTCCGTTTAGTTTATTAATTCGAATTGAAATATGATTTTATGTGAAATTTTTTACTGTAGCAAAAAAAAAAATAAAAAAAATAAATGTGACTATTTTTTAGAGCTTTTTACTGTAGCAAAACTCGAATCGGTGAAATGAATTACGGGACCAGAATGTATAATATTATAATATTATCATGAGACATTAGTAGTCCTTAACACTACCCATTAATATAAGGGGATTCACCTTCTTTTATTGAGTATTTCGCAGCGAAAGTGCCATAAATATTTTTAATGACATTGTTATTTTTTTAATGTCATATCACATGTTATTTATATTTTTTTTTAAAAAGAGACATTTTTCAATAAGCCGACTTACAGATAAGGTTAGTTTCTGACCATTATATCTGATTATAATCACATCATATTAAAAAAAATATGCATAACAGACAGTTTCTCATACAGATTAGACGGCGAAAAAGTGAAGAACTACTGATACTTCATTTATTCAAGTCTTACTAAAGAAACTCCTTTAAAAAAATCACATCAAAATTTTATCAGAAATATAACAAAACTCCGAATGCTGGCTGGTTAGGCCATTTTTGCACCTTATTAAAGAGTTGTCCAATAGAAAAATAGGAGTTCTTGTAAATTGTTTAGGATTAATTACAAAAATTCCTTTTAAATTATACCACTTGTAACACTTTATACACCGATCTTTAAAACGCAACATCCGTCTCCCTTAAACAATGAAATGTAAACCCCTTCCGTAAAGTTTTTAACAGAAATTGACACTTAATTTACTATTTTAAAGATATTTTTGTAACTTTATGCCTTAAAATATATTTTGAAATTAAAACTAATTTAAATTTAAACTTTTAACTATGAAATATCCATTATTAATTGAAAATAAGTTAAAATTTTATTGTAAAAATAACCAAATGAAAAATAAAAAACTTTTTTTCCAAAGAAAAGAGGAATTATAAACTTTTTTTCAAAGAAAAGAAAAATTATAATTGTGAGATTTCTTAACAGAAATGGTGATTTTTTTAACATTTCATTATTCAAGAAGAACGAGTGTTACATTTTAAAAATTAGAGGACAAAATATTATAAAGAGTATAATTTGAAGAGAATTTCTGTACTTAATCCAATTGTTTGTGAAATGTTACACATGACATAAGTAGCTTAACAGCTAAGATTAAGGCTTTATTTATTTCCAAAAGCCAAAAAAAAAGGGCCTTATCTTTTTCTTTTTTTTTTTTTGTCAAGCTTAAGGTTGACATTTAATTTATATAAAATAACTTTCTGCTAAATTTGACCAAACCTCCATGTGGAGATGAGTCAAGTAAACATCACATGAGAGCCCTTGCATGTGAGAACTAAAATGAACTAAATGGCCTCTTATGTCTCAACCTAAATAAAAAACACATTGCCCTATTTATTTTTATGAAAAGAAAAATTAAGGATCTATTTAGTTTACTAATTCAAATTTTTAATTTGAGTTGAGATATGACTTTACGTGAAAGTTCAAAGTGTTTGGTATAATAATTCGTGTCATGGTTCGAATCATAATTCGTGACTCGTTACAGTATTTTTTTCACAAAAAACACACGTAAATCAAAAATAGTTATGAATCATAATTTTAAATTTATAAACCGAATGCCCACTACTGTAATAAAAAAATTTAATGTGAAATGTGATTATTTTTACTCTAACTTCTAGACGGGTGAAATGGACCTAACTTAACGTCCTTCAAAGAACAAACCAACTAGGCCACGTATCTTTCACAAGTACAGAAACTTATGCTCTCATTTTGTGACCATTGACACAAAAGTTCAGTGAGCTTGCCAGTTTGCCAAAACCAAGTCTGAATTTGAAGAAAATTTTTCATCTTCTGTTCTTCTCTCACTAGACAAAGCCAATAGCCGATCTAAGAGAGTTGCCTAAAAATAAATATGTTTTAGTTTCCATTTCTACTAAGATTAAAAAAAAGAAAGAAAAAAAGAAAAACAAAAAGTTGGTCAGAGTATCCAAAGGTGCTTAAATTATAAATTCTACTTTGCAGTATTAAAATTAAACACCAAAGAAAGCAAAAGCATAGAAAACTGTGGCTATGAAATTGTTTGGAAGAAAGAAGTAGAAAATATCTCAATAAAAAATTACACTTGAAAAACAGTAATAAATAAATACAGCTGCCCATGAGGTATGGCAGAAGAGCAGACTAACAAAAAAAAAAAAAAAAAAAACACTGAATTTCATTGTTTCTTTCTTCTATAAGTCTCCTACAAACTAATCTTTCTTTCTGTGTTTTTTTTTTTTTTTTGAACATTACCATGGAGCTAATGGAGATTCTCTTGACCAAAAATCAATCTTGCCACCAAGAAAAGAATATTATATTTCGTCAAATAAGACTATATTGAGCTTTAGACTTTATAGTTACCAAAATTAGGAGAAGAATTAAGCAGAATAAGGAAGAAACTTAAAAAAGAAAATTATAATTAATCACAAAACACTTGCTGAGCATGAATTTACTATACCCAATCTTCTGTTTCTCCAGAAACTCAACTCTGGATCGAGCTTCTCTCCGGTTCTCGCAGGTTCCGATTTACACCTCGTCAGTATCAAAGGCCTATCGACAATCTCTTCCCCTGTTTTCGAAGATTCCGATAACCTTTTCCCGTCGAATTCCTTGAAAACTCTCGACATTTCCTCAATCTCTGAATCCACTTTCGCTTCTTCACAAGAAAGTCTCTCCATTTCCGAACTTGGTTTCTTTTCATCATCATCATCATCTTCTTCTTCTTCTTCTTCTTTTGCTTCTTCTTCTTCTTGTCTGTTTTCAATCGCTTTTTTCTGTTCTTCTTCGGAATTTAATGGCGAACCCCAGAACCTACACGCCAGTGAGGAAGACCTGTACGGAGCGGATCTGCACCGAGTAAGAATCAGAGCGTTTTTCGGCGGAGAAAGAGAAGATAAGAAAATCGGTTCTTTTTCCTTCTCTTCTTCATCTTCTTCTTCTGAATCTTCGCTTCTTGAGGAGGCGATTTTCTCCGATTGGTTTTTTCCTCTAATTCCCACTTTTCTTCGAAAACTGAGCTGAAAGAAAGACGCCCACTTGCTCCAAACGGGTCGGCACAGCTTGGGTCTGGTAATTTTCCCGGGAAAGTGGCGGAAAAACAGGGATTTTCTGGGAATCCATTGGCAGCGACAGGAGGGTTGTTGTTGTTGGGGGCTTTTTGGTGTCGTTTTGGATCTTTTGACTCGGACTTGTCCCATGCATGTGACCTTGGGAGAAGAAGGTTCTTGTGTTTCAATGGCGGTGTTGTTCGAGTTCTTCTTTCGCACGAACATCGGACTGGAACGTGACCTTCCTCGGCTTTTGCTCCCCACGTTGGTTCTCAGGAACCTCATCAATGGCGGTGGGAACTTCTCTGTCCGACCGGGACTCGATAAGGATTTTGCAGATAACTTCATTTTTGTATCACTTCCTCTCTCTAACTCACTTTCTCTCTCCTCTCTCCGACTCTCTCTGCTTCTAGTTTTAGGAAAATGGAGAGAGAGCGAAGATTTCAGATATGGGTGGTGGTTTTGGGGGCTTTTTTTCTTTTTCAGCTGTGTTTTTGGTTTGGTTTTGTTTTCTCTCTCCTCTCTCCGACTCTCTCTGCTTCTAGTTTTAGGAAAATGGAGAGAGAGCGAAGATTTCAGATATGGGTGGTGGTTTTGGGGGCTTTTTTTCTTTTTCAGCTGTGTTTTTGGTTTGGTTTTGCTTTGTTTTGTTTTTTTGTGCAGTGAGCTTATTATTTTATTTTTTGGTATTTATTTATCTTTACACGGATGGATGAATGGACTGTATTAAAAATTTTTTTTTTTCTTTTCTATTTTTCGAGGTTGTAGTCTTGCAGGGTTCTGTTTGGCTTGGCTCTGCAGGTCAATATTTTATATATCAATTTTAGCGACTTTGTTGTAGTTTATATACTTATGTGTAGTTTATTTTGTGAATTTAAATTTTTAATTTAAATTGAGATATGATATTTTTAAAAAAATTTTAATTATAGTAAAAAAAGTTAGATGTGATATTTTCTGAGAGTTTTTAACTATAATAAAAAAATTAAATGTAATATTTTTTGAGAGTTTTTAACTATAAAAACTTATAACTAAAAATTCGAATCGGTGAAATGAATAAAACCTTAGAGTTTGTTAGGATATGTTTAGTTTTTTTATTTAAATTTTTAATTTAAATTGAAATATTATTTTATGTGAAAATTTTTTACTTAATAAAAAAATTAAATATAATTATTTTTAAGAATTTTTTATCGTAATAAAATTGAAATTTTAAATTGTTAAATAAATAAAACCTTAATAAAATATTTCATCAAACAGAGAAGAGAGTGAGAAGAATATTCTAATGTGAAAAAATGAACATTTTCAGATGAACTTTTGTGAAGTAAAATAATGGTGCATTGTGGGATTGGAAAACAAGAATAGTAGAGGAGGAAGATTGCAAGATAAGGCAAAGGCTTGTCCAATCGGCCGTTCTATGATTGGATGGTGATTGATGCAACTTTTCTTTTCTCTCTCTCTCTCTCTTTTTTTTCCTTTTTTGGTTGCTGTTCTTTATTTTGCTATATTTATGCACATATTCATTCCTGATTTAAATTATAATTCGTTTTTTGTTGTTGTTTTTTATTTTGCTATATTTATGCACATATTCATTATTGATTTAAATTATAATTCGTGATTTATTATAATATTTTTTTTCATAAAAAATACACGTAAATTAAAAATAATTCTAATCACATAGTTTTAATCTATGAACTAAACAGACTCTTACTCACTCAATCAGACTAGTACATATGGTTAGATAAAAGATAGTAGTTATAAGTTGTCACAACATTTCACTAATTTAAATTTAAAATTTAAATTTTACTATAATAAAAAAGCTTTCAGAAATAGTCATATTTAACTTTTTTATTATAGTAAAAAATCCTCATATAAAATCATATCTCAACTCAAATTAAAAACTCGAATCAGTGAACTAAACGAGAGTCATTCATTATTTATGTCCTCTGGAAGATAGAGTCGGCCAAATTGAATCACGAAGAAAGTAATAAAACTCTATTTATTTTACTTATTTGAGTTTAAATTTTAAATTTTATTATAATAAAAATTTCTTAAAAATAATTAGATTTAACTTTTTTATTAGAATAAAAAATTATCGCATAAAATTATATTTTAGCTCTAATTAAAAATTTAAATTAACGAACTAAATATGTCATGAAACTTTACATTGAGGTCCCAGAGTAAAATGAAAAAAAAAATAATAATAATTGTTATGCTCTTTTAAGTAGGATGATGTAATTTGTTACATCCCTAGTGTGGGGGTGTATTAATTTCGTACATTTTGTTTCAATTTCTTTAACCATATCTGTCCTCTTTTTTTTTTCTTTTCAATAATTTATCATGTAGTAATTGCAGTTCCTGTTATTATTATTGCATAAAGTTGGTTAATTGTCGTTGAATTTAATATGCTCCCCTGCTTTTCTTTCATTTTCTCTCCCTTTTTCTTTCTCCGTTTTGTGATTACAGGTATAATTCAACAGTAAATCTACATCAATTTTATATAAAGATATAAAGTCTTATGAGAATTTAATTCAGAATAATTTTAATCATAATTGTGAAATCAGAACCATAACGTGATTTTGTTTAAATTATTATTCTAAAATCATAATTCAAAATTAGGGATTTGAATCACCTTGAATCAAGAGAGAATGATTTTAGAATCATAATTTAAGTTAATTTAAAACATCACATTAAATTTAGACTCATGATTCAAAATCATCTAAACTAAACAATAATTCTGAATCATGATTCAAGAATCACTATAAACAAATACTGATTCTAAAATTATAATTTTAAATCTATCTACCAAATGCACCCTAAAAATATTAGGTTAGCAAAAAATAATTAAATAAAAAAGAAAAGACTTCAAATCCTTTACTAATGATTCACTGTTTCTAACAAGAAACAGAGCAGACTTTATATTACATTCCTCTTTCTTTTTCTTTTTCTTTGAAATATTCCTGTTTTTATTGCCATTTATGAATTAAAAACTTGGTACTTGGGTAGATCACCAACCTCACAAGGCCAGGTCACATATGTCAAATCACTAGCTCCGTAGCCTTATGTTCCCATGCACTTGGATCACACACCCTTTTTTTTTTTTGGGTCAAGTTTATGATTATCCAGATCCACAATTGATTTTGTCGGTTCTTATAAACACGTAAGAAACAAAACGATCTCAAGAAAACCAAAAAGAAAATATCACCTTCAAATCCTATTTCCTCATTTCCCCGGAGTTAAAAATGTACCTCCATTGTTCTATCAAATACAAGTACTTTCATTGCTCTCCCTAAAGCTTCTTTCTCATTGAGTGTGTGTTGGGCCAAATGCAACTCAGATTCCAGCTCTTCTATTTGGTTTTCCTGTCGCTCAATGAGCAAATGACACAATTTCTGATCGAGTTCTGCTGGTAATATTCCATTTCCGCCTAACTGATGGATATCAGAATCTTGTCTGTCTTGTTCAGGAAATGCTTGAGCTGAAAACTCGGTCTGCACAACATTCATTGTATCAAAGCGAGACAATGCTCTTAGTTGGAAATACACATATTTGAAAGAGGGGAAATTTAGGACAACGGTAATAAGATCGTGTAGATCAGAATATGACATGATCAGCCACTTCCTGAAAGAAACAAGACCTGAAGACCACCAACCATAGAAATGTGGTGACAATTACTGGCTGTGTTTGGAATTAATCTCGTTTTTATTTTTTATGTTTTTTGAGAAAAAAAAAATTAAAACGTTTTTAAAACGGCGTTTGGCGTAATAAAGATAAAAAATAAAAATAAAAACAATTTTTTAATTTAGTATAAAATGAGAGAGAAATTTTTTGTTTTCTTTTTCTCTTCTCTCTCAAGCAGGGAGCGAGAAAGAGAGACATTAATAGGTTTTTTTATACTGAAAATAATATATTGATAAAACTACCGAACACATTTTTAAAAATAATTTCTGTCTGAGATTAAAAACGTTTTCATTTTCATTTTCATATAAAAAAAATAAAATTATTTTAAAACGAGTTCTAAACGCGCCCACTATGTTCACTAAATTCACATTTCCTCAGCTACCAAAGTTAGAAGTTGCCACAACATAAATCTATGAGGGTAAACCCACAACATAAATCTGAGGATAAACAGGGTTCGTTCATAGGTTCAAACCAATAGTTTTGATTCTAAATTTTAAAATTTAAAGTTTTCATGAGAGAAAAATACTATAGCAAAATTAAGAACCATAGTTTAAATCATGCATAACTTTTGCAACAAACGCACCCTCTATTTTCCAATCAGATTTGTCAAAACAAATTAAAATGGCATAAAATTGTTAGTTTGGCATCCAAATCTGTACAATTAAATGCGACCCACGTGTATAGTAATTACATAGAACACAGCTAGCTCAATTAAGCTACACATGAGTTTCCCTATATGTTTGGTGTAGATAACAGCACTATGAAGTCACACATTTTCAAGGTAAACCCAATGAATTAAAAGCGTAGAAATTACAAAAATGTTTACCTCAATTAAAGCTTTTGAACCTTCTTGGTTAGAAGAAGCATCTAAGGTGCACCATGGAAGTTGTTGCAGTTCAAACTCAAGCTCTGCTTCCAGTTGATCCATTTCCTGCATCCCGGGCGCAGGCTCTTCTGTAAGAACACTACTTGCACATTCCACATCATTCATCGAAGGAGAACTGAAACTTTTTATGTCATTGGGGCCTGTTTTATGGTCTGGGTGATCATCCTTGTAGCTAGTTGTATGACGGGTTAACATGGCCTCACTTGCACAGCCTGAAACTTGCAGATTTTGGGATGATTTTCTTTTATGTAGCTCTGCTTTCAACTCGTCAACAACCTTTGCAGTTTCATTCATCGCTGCGTTAAGCTTACAGAATTCAGCTTTCCCGGTTGACACCATGTACATGATCCCAACACCAAGTCCCCACCCAAATAAGGAAGTATCTGAAGTAACATAAGCAGAAGTAAAATGTGTAAACCAACACCAGCTTCACAAGAAGGAAGCATGTTACCAATACTAAAAAGGCAGTAACCCAAAAAAAACCATCACAGATTAAAGCATATGACGAGCTTATACAAGACTACAAAAGTGCTAAACTCTCAACAAATATTCTGCCCGCTTTTAGCTTGTGTATTATAAGGCCCCGTTCATTTCGCCGATTCGAGTTTTGCTACAGTAAAAAGCTCTCAGAAACAATCAGATCTAACTTTTTTGCTACAGTAAAAAGCTCTCACATAATGTCACATCTTAACTCGAATTAAAAATTCGAATCAGCGAACTAAACGGACCCTAAAACTTTCACAATTATGAAGATGAATTGTTCTTCGCATTTTTAATGGCCATTTTTAAAAGCCCAAGTGAACATCAGGATTCTTGGACAAATGTATGAAGAGAAACTACTTACTGGAGAATCTACATAATTTTGTATTTTATGTCCTCATCGTTGTAATTGATTTTGTTGATTATCTTCCTAGTTTAGAAAATCTGATTTAGTTTCCTAGTTTTGATGATTAGTAATTGATCTGTAAAATCCTTCAATCAAGGATCTTACCTAGAATAGGATATCACCTAGATTAGAAAACTTCTCTATTGTATTCTGTATATATTTCTGTTTAGAATCAATACAAGGTATGCCATAATTCCTTCATTTCCTATACTACTCACCCCACACATAGTTTCCCCTAGTTTCACGAAAATAAATGCCACTCTTTTTATTGGAAAAAATAATATACTATACTTGAATCTACGCACAATCACACATTGAACAACCATTATCAATTTGCAATACTTATCAGTACTTGAAGAACCCTTTTCACTAATTTATACAAAACGGCCTTTAACACTTAAACTTGCTTAACATGCTTGCCAGCACAAACTAGAATTGCATTACAATTTCATGCCCTTGTATTTGTCTAGGAAACAACGACATATCTGTAGCAATAACACTTTAAGAAAAGGGAAAAGCTTTCTGAAAAGAAAGAGAAAAAAATAATAATAAAAAAAAAAGAATGAGACTTTCTGAAACTTTCTTTTTAAATGTGTTTAATTTGAAAAGGTAACAACTTTTGAAATTAAAATGTCTCCCATGATTTAGCTCAATGATGCCTAACCAAATACAAAACTACTAACTAGTGGCGATCACGAACAAATTGAAGTGAAAACGGAACCAAATAGCCAATACATGCAAGCATAAAAATTTCTCATCAAATTTCCAAAATAACAAATTTAACTTTCTTCAAACAATTTTCTCGCGAAACAAACAGAAACCAAAAAAAAAAAACGAGAATCTAACCGTTAGAAGAGCACGATTCTCGCTTCCCAGCCCCAATCTTGCTAGTCTTCCTCCTCTTCAAGCAAACGCCAACCCTCCTTTCGCCACTCCGCTGCTTCGAACCAGCAGATCTCTCACCCCTAACTCCCTTCCTCAAAGCACCCTTATTCTTGCTCAAATTCCTCCTACCAACTCGAGAACCAGTACTGGAAAACCTAAAGATCTCGTCTTCCTCCTCGGGAACGCTCGCGCGCGGCAAATCCAGCTCGGAGCCCAACGCGGAAGCGCTCAGAAACCGCGATTCGTCCTCGCGATTGATCGGCTGATCTCCGAGGTCGTCACCATTGTAGGGTCTGTGCGCGTGATCTGAGGCGGGCTTGAGGAAGTGCTTGGCGACGATGCCCGTGGTTCCGGCGACCGCCGCCGCCACGAGAGCTTGCCACATTCAGAGAGAGAGAGAGAGAGAGAGAGAGAGAGAAGACGACGAAGAGTCAAACAGCTATGGAGGTTTTCACAGTGATGCTCTGAACTCTCTGGCATTCAATGTGGCGACCAATGAGCGCTCCCTCTCTCTCTCTCTCTCTCTCTCTCTCTCTCTCTCTAACTCTTTCTCTCTCTAAACCTGCTTGCTCAGTCACTCACATGCTTCCCGCTTCCACAAACAGTTTTCCATTTTTTGGAAGAGAGTGGTAGTTTTGTAACTATTTGAAATTCAGGCCTTTTATGGAACATTTTGATTGCCCCTTGCTTTTGACACCCCCCGTGTTGTTCGGTAGTCCACCTACTACCGGCGCAGAGGGTTTTTTTCCTGACGTGGAAAGAGTTGATTGGCTGTTTTTAATTTTAAAAAATGTACTTTTTCGTTGGTTTTATTTATTTATTTTTCTATTTGTTTGGTTTTTATTTTAAATAAGTTGTACCTCAATTACTTGCTCCAGCTCTTTACACGCATAGCAAAATATAAACATTAGAGTTTAAATATGACAAAAATTTTAAAATATTATAAGAATAACAAAATTTAATATCATTTAAATAAGAATTATGTCATTATATAGTACAAAATGTGATATTATTATGGTAATGATTATGTCATTTTTATTATATTTATAATATTTTAAAAATTCTGCTAAATTTTAATTTAAGACATAAAATTTTATCTCTTATTTGCTCTGTATATATGGATTTTGGTTCAAATGAAAATAGTTTGTGAATGGTTTTATTGGTGGGGACATAAATTCAAGATGGTTTTTTTAAGGTAGGAGGTAGATTCTAAGGTAGGACTTTAATTATTCATTGTATTTTTTTTTAATTTATTTCCTTAATGATGAGATATGATTCTAAAAAATCAGGAAAATCTAGAAGAACACGATTCTAGTAAAGGAGTATAAAATTTTACGTTATCTTTTGAGTAAATGTTAAAAAATCTCTATGGACACAAAATAAAGAGGAGAGTTAATACCTTGTTCACTTCGCGGACTCGAGTTTAAATGTGACATTTTCTGAGAGTTTTTTACTGTAGTAAAAAATTTTGATGTGATATTTTCTAAGAACTTTTTACTGTAGAAACCTAAAATTAAAAACTCGAATAGGTGAAATGAACGAGGCTTAAAAGAGTAAAATTAAAGTCAAGTCTCAAAGTGTAGCCATTCATCCATATCCATATCAAAGTTATGTAAAACTTAAGCTTAGAACCATCTTAACATTAATAATGGTATCCTCTAAATCACCTGCTTGCTTTTGAACTCCTTTCAGTTCACATCTCATCTCCCTTGCAACATAGGTTTGTGTAAGCGTACATGTTTTCCCTACTAGAGTTAAACAACAACAGTAATTTTTCTAGCAAAGAGCTTAAGGCGCGTTTAGAATTCGTTTTAAAATAATTTGTTTTTGTATGAAAATAAAAATAAAAACGTTTTCAATCTCAGATAGCAATCATTTTTTAAAATGCATTTGGTAGTTTTATCAAGAGATTGTTTCAGTGTAAAAAAACTCATTAATGTCTCTCTTTCTCTCTCTCTGCTCGAGAGAAGAGAAAACAAAAATAAAAAAACAAAAACAAAAAGTTATTTTTTCATTTATCTCCCATTTTACACTAAACCAAAAAAATCATTTTATTTCTTATTTTATTTTTATTGCGTTAAACGCCGTTTTGAAAACGTTTTTATTTTTTTTTTTCTCAAAAACTGTGAAAAAACAAAAACGGAATCAATTCTAGACACGGCCTAAATTTTTTAACTTTTAGGGTGAATTTGGTAGGAATGAAAGAATGTATATATACATATACTAAATGAGGAAAATTGAAAGGAAAAAGAGGAGCTTTCTCTTATTTTATTTGGAATGAATTCCCACTTTTAATTCTTTTATGTTGTGAGAGATTAAAACAGAAAGATTGTTCGAAGGATTTTAAACCCTTCATCCAATTCAATTGCACTCTCCTCTCGTACTAATCAATCCCCGGGTCTCAAAATCCTTCCACTAATTTCCTCATCCATTTTGTTCCTATTTTCTCTCCTACCAAACAAGCTCTTGAGTCATAAAATAGCGCTCGTATATTTCATAGGTTTTAAAATTAAAGAAATATGAAGCTGCTCTTCAAAAAATAATTTCTCAAACCATGGACTTTTTTCAAAGCTTCCTTGTTTTTCAAAAGGGCCTTGAGGCTTGAGCAACAACTGTTTAGGATATCAATCATCGCAATCACCAAAAATTGAATTTGATTTGCATATTCAGAAAGCGGGAAAATTGTAAACCAGCTGTAACTGTAACAAGTCATAGTAGTGATGAAAACAACATCATCATAGTGGTCAAATAATAAACATGTATTTAAGTTTCTACATCACTGAGGGATAATTATAGAGTAACCTAAACTCCAGTGGTGGTTCTTTTCATCCGGCATTGCATGCGCGCACTGTATTTTCAGCCACTACCCATACAAAAGCAGAATTAACATCAATTTGAAGCAATTCACCTGAAAAAAAAAAAAAAAAAAAAGGATTTAAGATGGTAAGTATCAAAGGGTCCATACACACATGTATGCACATTAGAAGTGAGAGCTGGAGAGCATACAAATTCATAGAAACTTTAAATGATTGGGACGTCTGAGAAAACTTGAAAGATCTTATCTAAATGGCCTTAAAGAAGTGGATGGAGCTCCATCTGTTATCCGCCGCATTCAATGTTGAAATTAACTCTAGATCAGCCGTAATGAAAATATGGTGTACCCAACTAACTATGTCAATTACGAATGTTAAATATCAAGTGATTGTCTCTTCTGGGAGGCCACCCTTGTTTAAAGTCCATAAATTACCTTTGAATGTTAAAAACCAATCTCTTCTTATAGCTTCAAACATGAATCGTGATCCTTGTTTTAAACTCACAAGTCACGTTCAACTTAACAATATTAGTTTCCTTGGGAGTAACAATTGTTCTTCCTAGTCCAAAACTTCAAACCTTTTGACCCATCACTAATCCTTTTCTAATAATATCAAGTGTTATTCCTATTTTTGCATTTATAATTTCCCGAGTTTTAGCTCCGATTAGAATCAGATTTCGAATCAATCTATATTGATTGGTTGATCCTTGTGCTCTAACTTGACATAACTCATAAGGTATCCATTTTGAATCTGCTCCATGACTTTGTACATCCTTTTAAACATGCTTGACTTTTGTGGCCCTAAAGGAACCTAGAGCAATTTTATCAACTACCAACAACGTTAACGATACCTTTCCAAGAGAAACTAAACCAAGCATTTCTAAATCTATGCTAGCATAAGACCAAAAAAAAAAAAGTTAACGATACCTTTCCAAGAGAAACTAAACCAAGCAAAGAATGTACTAAAATATAGTAAAGATCAAAACTTTAACACTCCAATCCACAAATAAGAATCAAACAAATTCATAAAAATCCCACTTACCATGATTAAGAATCAGTCACACTTGCTCGCAGAGTTTTTCCTCGCGGCTCTGGCATTATCATACTCGAACTTCAACACATTGGGTATATGAGAAGTATCCTTGATGTAAAACATACGCCCAAAGGAACTATCCTCAATCGCCGGAAAATAACAGTAAAGCCCATAATTCACCACCCAATACCAAACCGCTCCGAGCACGATTCCCAAGGCAGCTCCGGCGAAGACCTGCGCCACCGTGTGGTAGCCCAAATAAACCCGAGAGTACACCGTCAGAAGCGCGAGCGACCAGTGAAGAGAGTTGACGAACAGCTTCGTGCTGGTCTCCCAAACGCTGGTGGTTTTGAAGGTCAACAGCGTGAAGTACATGGAGAAGAACAACATGTACTGGGAGTGGCTGGAGGGCCAGCCATGGGAGTCGCACATCTCGAGGAGCGCGCAGGTCTCGGGGCGGGCTTGCTGGACGGAGGTCTTGATGAGATCGTTGACGAACTGGGAAATCAAGAGCCCTAGGGCGAAGAACATGGTCTGAAGCTCGCGGCGGAAGATGATGTGGGAGACGAATCCGCCGAGGCTGATGAACACTGGGACGAGCGAGACCCATGCGAGGAAGTGGCCGAACTTGTCGCCTCTCTGGTACCGGACGTGGGTCAATGTCACCGCTTTTAGCGCGGGCGTCGCCATGGCGGAAAGAAAATTGGTTCAAATGAGGAAAATTTAGGGCTTTTGCTTCGGAATGCGAGGGATTTGATTCAAATTGGATCAAAATTTGGGGATTGGTTGGGGATTTTGCGTCGAAAAATCAAATTGGATAAAAATTGGGGCTTGGTTTGGGTTTGCGCGTCGAAAATCGAGCTTATATGAATCGGTGATGGAGAATTAGGTTCAAAAAAGAGAATTGAAGAAAGATTGAGGTTGGTATTGCTTGAGATGAGGCTTGATCAGATCCGAGACGTGAATTACCTATTTTTGGAAACGAATGTAGATGATTGGAGATGGTAGGGAGAGAATCTAAGTTGGTGGAGAGTTTGGTTTATGGGGAAAAGTAGTTAGGTGGTTGTTCGTTGGATTTCCAAATGCAATGGGGAATATTGATATGGTGTTTGTTTCTCTAGAAAATGAGAAGGCTTTGATAGGGAAAGTAGTGAAAGGACGCTGTGGTGGCGGGGAGCTAGTGGCGGACGGGGGGGAAAACACGGCCGTGGAATTGGAAACACGTGGGTGGCAAAAACACCAAGTAAACAATTTTTTTTTTTTTTTTTAAGAAAATTTTATTTTGGTACTTTTAAAAAACTTTTTTTCGTACTTCAAAATCATTTTTTAGACATAAAAAAGATAAATTATTTTTATCGTAAAACTTCATTAGTTGACTATAATTTAAAAAAAAAGATTTTGAAAATTTTATGCCTACAGAGCATAATCTTTTTTTTTTTTTAAATTCTGGTTAACAGATGAATTTTTATAATAAAGACAATTTTATTTTTTGTGTGTTTTAAAAATGATTCTGAGATACCAAGAAAAGATTTTCTAAATAGTCGAGGTACCATCATGAAATTTTTAAAAACATAATGTGCTAAATTCAAATTTCGATATAACAGAGGGTACCAAAATGAAAATTTTCCTTTTTTTAAAAAAAATACAAAGTGAACAATGAGATATACATAAACGTACGTAAAAATTAAAAAATACATAAATCTAACGATTAAAAAAACTTGATATGCTGATACGCTAAGTATATCAGAAAATCTCCTAAATAAAGAAACACAAATAATATACAATAATATGATTTTCTTTTCTCTTCCTTTTTTTTTTTTTTTTGGGGTGAGGTCCATGATGTTTTTTGCTCTAAAAAATATGTTAATTCACTCATAAGCAACATAAAAAAAAAATTACTTATTTATGTATCTTTTTTATGTTTGAGATCTTCTCTGATAAACCAACACACTTGTAGGTCATTTTTTATCCTTTAGATATTCATAAAATCACGTAAAAGTAAAAAAATACGCATATTTAACAGTTAAAAAAATATGACCTACCAGTATATTAAGCGTATAAGAAAATCTCTCTTAATGTTTATGTTATCATAAAGTATTAAAAATATGTTCTGGTGTAAATATCTACAGTTTTCATCATTTTTTTTAATATTTTTACTGATATTAATATTTTTTTAAAAATTTCTATAAAATCGAAGTACCTATATTTTTTTGATACCAATGCTTTCATCCTTACATGTAAAAAACTAACGTCTTGTTAAAAAAAAAAAAAAAAAAAAAAAAAAAAAAAAAAAAAAAAAAGATGAAGTAGTGACGTCCTTATTTGTTGCCCTTTTTTGTCATTACATCAAGTTTTTTTTAATATAAAGTCGTTTACACAGGTTGATGCGGACGCCAATTATGTTGTCGTTTTTAAGTCACAAGTCAAATATTATTATTATAATATTTTTTTTTATAAAAATTTAAATTATTTTTTTATTACAATAATTTTTTATTACATATACAATTTAAGTTTTTAATTTTAGTTGTGTTGTAAAACACAGTTGCTATCGTTTCCAAGGATGATATTCCTTTTTGTGATCTTGTCGTTTGACGAAGCTATCCATATTTTTTTTTCCCGGAATACTGTTTTTTTGGTGAGCAGATAGTCACTTTATTTGGCTTTTGTCATTGCTAAACATAATTTTGATTTTTTTTACTTCTGCCGTCTTCAATCTACTTGTTGCTGTGTTTTTAAAAAAAGATTTTCATGCTGCTATTTTTCCGTAATTATGTCGTCTTCAATCTATATGTTTATGCGTTTATTTCTAATATTGATATCTATCCGTTTATTTTGCTGATTCGAATTTGTAATTCGAGTTGAGATGTAATTTTATATGAGAGCTTTTTACTGTAGTAAAAAAGTTAGATATGACTGTTTTTAAAAAAAATTTTACTGTAACAAAACTCAAATTCTAAACTCGAATCGGTGAAGTAAACGGAACCTTAAATAATTATGTCGTTTTCTAGTCGCTGTCTTTTTTTTTATTATTATTATTATTTAAAAGTTGCTATCATTTTGAAGACGATTTTAATTCTATATTGTGTCGTCTAAAAAGTTTTTGCTCTTTGAGTGAGATCTTTTATAAACGTTGCTATCATTTCAAAGACGATTTTAATTCTATATTGTGTCGTCTAAAAAGTTTTTGCTGTTTGGTTGAGATAATTTCGCAGCTGATTGTGCTATTCTGAAGTATATTGTCGTTATTTGGGATACTATCATTTATATGGGAATGTCATTTCATATTTGACGTCGTTTCCTCTGTACAATGTCTTTTCTAATGGTGTCGCTTCACAAAATCTTTTCATTTTTCCGGGTATCGTTTTCTGAAAATATTGTTACTTTTTATTAATGTCGTTGTAGATTTCTACATAAACCGTATGTGAGAAAGTCGTTTCCATGTTGATGTTGGTTCAGGTATAGCCATATAGGATAACGCCCCTTCCTTAAATTCTGTCGTTTTCCAGTATTTGTCATTGACGTGCTGATATTTATGTGAGAAGTCGCTTTCCGTGATGATGTCGTTTTCACGAATGGTGTTGCTGCGTTGAATCGTGTTGTTTTCCAGAATGATTGTAGTTTTTTCAAATGTTGTCGTTTTTTCTTTCCTCATATACTATCGTTTACAGAACATCGTTTTTTATTGTCGTTTCCATTATTCAGTCGCTTTTGTAATCTCAGTTTGGTATTGATTTTGAGAGCCTAAAAGCGCTTCTTCACCCCGCTAAAGTTATTTGGACTGTTTGGTAAGAAGCAAAACCGTAGCTTATTCAAAAATCTGAAGCTCATTTCACCTTAAAATTAGAAGCAGCCTTTTAGGTGCTTCTGATTTTAACTTGTGCGGGAATCTCCTCTCTTCTCATTAATGAAAATTTTCTACTCCCCATTTTACCCTCGTTGAAATAAAAAAATCTCCATATACCCATATTCCTCATCACTCCGTTCTCTCTCCTCTTTCGCTCTGCTCTCTGTTCTCTCCCTCTTGTCTCGCTCCTCTCTCCGGTCTCTGCTCTCCGTTCTCCGTTGGCCAGTCTCCCTCTTTCGCTTTCTCTTTCTCTGTACCAAAAAAAAGAAAGAAAAAAGAGAAGAGAGAGAAAGTTGTCTTCTCCGGGAAATATCGTCGGGATCGCTCTGGTGAGGTACTCTTCTCGAGCACTCTCTCATTCTTCTCAATTTGGAGGCTTTATCAATCTGCTTTTATGCTTGTATCTGTATAGGTTTCAAAAATTCATCGTGATGTTTTTGCTCTCGCGTGCTTTTTCTCTCTGTAGATCATTCACTATGTTTCTGATCGTGATCGAAGCTTGATTTCTAGGGGTTTCTCTCTCTTGGTTTTGTTCTTTTGCAGATTAATTGAGCGACGCTTCGAGAGTTCGGATTTGCATGGTTTCTGTCAATGGATTTTAGGGGCAGTACTGTGTTGTAGAAGCTGGAATAGGTCTGCGAGTTTCTGTTCGATATTGGAGTTTTGAAGAATGCAATTCTGATTGTGCAGGAGTGAGCAAGTTCGTTTAAGTGTTTTTGCCGAGGTGACTGCGTGAGCCCTTACAGAAAAAATGGTAATTAAGCTCGGAACTCTAATTTGAAGTTCTTGCATGGCATGCAAATCTTGTGTAGAGTTTTGAGCTTTCACTCTTGGTGTGTTTCAGTTTCGAATTAATTATTGTGGATGTTTCATGGATTTGTGTGTACAAAACACACATAAGATGAATTGAGTGTTATTTTTTTTTTTTGTTGGGTTTTAGCTTGGGAAAATATTCACACTTGCCCAGTAGATGCAAATTAATCGAGTGTCACAGTTTGAAAACAATACTCCAGAAGATGATTACCTTACTCTATAAGTCAAAATTGAAACTAAACAAGTCTTTTACCAACAAATTCACACGAAACAAGCTGAAAGTTCAATATAATTGGCTTTCATCACTGTAGAGAACTATGGTGTAGAGCGGTATTAGAATCCTCTCTTCTTCACGGAACGAGTGTTTTTATATTGTTCAATCTATTAGTTAACCACCCAATTCACTTCAATTAAACTGTTTTAGGATGTCAATGTTCTAAATGAAGGAACTTGTTCCTATATTGAAATATCTTTAAATGGAATTCAAGATCTGATCTATTGTGTACTTCATTTTCTATTTCGGATTCATATGAGTGACTAGTAGATATCTCAGTTGTTTAATTTTTCACTTCTTTCATCTAGTAATCTTTGAATTTCTTCCAAGCACATCTATCAAGGTTATTATATGAGAATTCTCTCATGTAGTGGCAATGTGAATATGCTAGACTACCTAAGTTATCAAAGATTTCAAATATATGAAAAGATTGAGGAATATATATGATGAGTACTCTACAGTCTACACAGAAATGGCTAAATGAGTGGTTTGAATGTATTTCTAGGAAGCTGTGGAGAGGCTCTCTTTAATGAATCACCCGGATGGTGATTGTCCATTGTGTTTGTATTCTTTAGTCTCAGAAGATGACCAGAACAAGAATTTGCCGTTTATGAAGTTGATGTCCTATTTTCATTGCTTCCATTGGTATTGCTAGGCTCTAATTTCTCTACTTTCTATCTTTCATCGCTTGCAGATTTTGGAGCTATAATTTGTTCTTCTTTCTTTTTTTTTTATTGTGGCAGTGAGTGTATTAGTAGGTGGTGGACTTAGCTTCATACAGAAAAGAAAACAAATCCTAGTGGTTCGTCAAGTTCAACTATGCATCCTGCTAGAGACAATGACTTTAAAGAAGGTATATATGCGTCACAAGTTATTGCAGCATTACATTAGGTTATATTTATAATGAGAAGCTTTGGATATGGAAGCTTTGGATATACTTCATTCAGGTGCCTGCATTCAATTGGAACATGGGCAGGTAAATGCTCTTATGTTGCTGCATTCTTAAGTGCTATTTTTCCTTTCTTTTGTTTGGCTCTGAATTTGTCGAATTATGCAGAAATGAATGCGGAATTGACTTCATTGTTGGGTATAGGGGATTAGAGGAATACCACTTCTAGAGAGTGAGAATTCGAATATTGTGAAATTTTCAAACCAAAGTGGTACAAGTGAAGATGTCAAGTGAAACCAAAGTCGGAGTGTCCATGGGACAAGGATTTGAAGTACGCTAAAGCTGTTTGAAGAATGAAAGGACTTAAGTTTGTATTTGTAGGTATATACGAGTGTGTATGGATATATATATTTGTATTTACGTGTGTGCGGATATATTATTTATGTATTTACATGTGTGTGTATTTTGTATTTTGTTCTTTCCATGCATGCCATGTTTTGTAATTTTGAATGAATTGTCTACTTCATATAAGATGTTTGTTATATGATTTTTATCTACCTTACATTCTGATTTTTTTTCCTACTCACGGACAAATGTAAAAGAGGTTGCATATATTCATTCATTTAGTTACACATTTTTTTTTTCAGTTGGTTTTTTTTATCCTTGTGAGCCTTTATACTTTGGTATCTGTGGATGGAACAGATTGATATAATTTTTTAGGAAAAGGCGATGGGGCCAATTGATATTTTTTAGAAGGTAAAGTTCTATGCCAAAAATAATTTCACAACTCGAAGACTACAATTGTCCCTAATTGTCACTAATGCTTCTTTTAGTTGTAATTATATTATGAATGAAGAAATGAAAAAAAAAAAGAGAATTAATTATCATAAATTTATTGTTAAAAAATTCAAAATCAAAACATTATGTGTTTTTAAAGTTAAATAAGTATTTTTAAATACTAAAAATAATTATATATATTTAAATTTCATATCATGTCTATTTTGATCATTTTACATACCCACAGCAATTCCATCTCAAAATTTACCAAACACTATTATACTGATTTTAGAACCAGCACAGCTACTATAATTACAATTTACCAAACACTCAGCTGCTTCTTAAAACAACTGATTTTTCTTTCAGCACAGCTAAAAACACTTTTTTAAAAATCCACAGCATTATCAAACTAAGCCCTAGTTTCATTCCCCTTCTTGTCGCTTTTACTTTGACGTCATTTTTTACTCTGGTGTTCAGCGCTATTTTCTTTTCTCCTAATTAAATTTGAGTTACAAAATAAATTTATACAAAAAAAATACACAAGAAAAAATATTGTAAAAAAAATTAAATTTAAATATTTATAAAAGAAAATACAGTAATAAAAACATAATAAGTTCTTGATACTGTTTATTTTACTGATTTAAATTTAAAATTTAAGTTTTATTACAATAAAAATCACATCTCAATTTAAATTAAAAACTTAAATTCAAAAATTAAAATCTCAAATTAATAAATTAAAAACTCAAATCTACGACTAGTTGGTTTTCATCCCCTCAACTTGCTAAATAGTTGGCAGTTGCAATATGCTCCTTTTTCACTTGATGTCGTTTTTGGTTTCAGTTGCCCTGGAGCTCACGGCGGCGACAAATATGTAGTCCGAATCGAAAAGATCCCAGACAGTTGTGACCGAGCTGCGTGGGTCATTCCAACGGCGGCGGCAAAACTCGCGGGAGATTCGGAGACTTTGCCCATATATATATATATATATATATATATTCGTTTTGAGACCCTCACACTTTTTTCCCTTCTTCTCCACTTTCATAGCTTCGCAGCTTCTCCTACAATGGCCGAAAATGGCGCCATTCTCCACAGACGAGATCCTATTAAGTCGTCAGGTAACTTCCTTCTTCCATTTCAGCTGAATTTGATTCTTTTCTTTGGCTCTCTGGTTTGATTGGTGGGAAAATTGGGGAAAATTTTGAAATCGAAGGAACAGAAAGCGGCTTTTCGCAGTTGTTATAATGATGTTTTGAGCTTTTGAAATGAATGTATGAATTGCCTAGAGTTGATTGGGGTTTATTTTCTTATGTCTGAAAAGGAGGGGAAAAAAGAAAGGAAAAAAAAAAAGAAGAAAAGTTAGCAACTTTGTAATTTGATTTTTTGGGTACAAAATTAGCTGATAAAATAAAATAATCTGAGCCGGTTTATAGGCAGAGATGAGTAGTTTTCTCACCATGGGACAAAATACATTTATTTTTGGTATTTTTTTAAGCAATTATGCTGAGTACTTTGTATTGGCATGAAGATGTAGAAGAGAGTATAAAACCAGGGAGCTGAAAATAAAGCTTGAACGTGATGTTTTTCTTTTATTTATATCATCAAGTTTGCCGATTGAAAAATTTCACTTTGATTATATGAATATAACGTTTATGTTTCTTATCAAAAAGAAGAAAAACAAATACAAAAATTTGTGAGGTGAAGTGATAATCTTGTGCTTTGGTTGTTAGTTGGGAATGTTGCTGCCCACCGCAGGCGACAACATGCAGTTACGGTGGGGAAAGAAAGGCGAGAATCGTTGGTGCGTGCGAAGCGCCTCTGCAGAGTGGGGACCAGTGGTGAGGGTGATGGTGAGGGTGAGGCTCCACTCGAGAGTGGAATGATAATCGAGGAAGAGCAATCGATTTTGGAAGCTCAAACTTCTTCTGCAGTGGAAGAGCTAAAGGCTGCAGTTTCAAATCAGTATGTCACTCTTGATATGCATATGAAAAATAAGGAAAAGCAGTTATTTTCTCGATTTTAATGCTAGTATGGGCTAAATCTTGGCTTAGTTCATTGTAAGAATCATGCTAACGGGGTTAACTCGTATTCATTGTTGAAACAGGGGAAAAGGTGCATTGCAGAAGAGGGTGGCCACTCTTCGTGAACTAAGGCGCATATTGTCAAGATCCGAGTTCCCTCCTATCGAAACTGCTCTCAGAGCTGGAGCAATATCCGTGCTAGTTCAGTGTCTTTCATTTGGCTCTCCGGATGAACAGGTGAGGATATATTCTTAAAGTTCTATTCTTCTTTCTTTACCTTTTTCTTTTGGTTGGATCTGGTTTTGAAATCAATGGAATAATGATGGTCAATGGCTTTTGTAAACAGAAAGACATACACGTGGGGTTTGCTTGCCTAAATCTTTGTGGGGTTCTTTTCTTTTTCTTTTCCTTTTCTTTATTCTTTTTTAAAAAAAAAGTTCTATTCATAAACCAAAGCAATGTTGCAACTTGCAATGATGGTTAATTGCCTTTATAAGCCTAAACACAGAGTAATGGAATTTGCTTGCCTTTGGCATACATCTTTTAGATGCATGTCTGATAGACTAATTGCAGTTAAAAGAGCTTAAGGAAATTTTTTAAATGTTCATTTCTGTCTTCCTTTATATTGCAGTTGCTTGAGGCGGCTTGGTGCCTAACAAACATAGCAGCAGGAAAGCCTGAAGAAACAAAAGCTTTGTTGCCTGCTTTGCCATTGCTCATTCTTCATCTTGGAGGTTCCTTTTAAAATAGTACCTTTCTTCTAAATTCTAGAAAGCTTTGTTGCCTATTACTCATCACTTTTGCAATGACCTTGTAGAAAAAAGTTCCTTGTCTGTTGCTGAGCAGTGTGCGTGGGCATTGGGAAATGTTGCTGGTGAAGGTGAGGAGTTGAGAAATGTTTTGCTATCTCAAGGAGTCTTACAACCTCTTGCAAGGATGATGCTTCCAAACAAAGGTTCTACTGTGAGAACAGCTGCTTGGGCATTATCAAACCTAATCAAGGTGACAAATTCTTCACGCGAAGACTATTTTTATGATACGTGCATATTAACATACACCACTCTTCATTTGAGAAATTGCAATGACCTTTCTTCAAGTTGTTTATTAGTTTGTGTAAAGCATATTGGCAATAGGCAATTATGGATTCATTCTTAACTCAAAAATAAATAAATAAAGATAAACACACACACACACACACACACATATGAATTCATTTTTTCAAAGTTTATTTAAAAGGTAAAGCTGATGTCTTGAACACAGGGACCAGACCCTAGGGCTGCAACGGAACTCATAAAAGTTGATGGCGTATTGGACGCTATTATTCGGCACTTGAAAAAAGCGTAAGTGGAATTTCATCACTGTGGGATTAATTCTCGTTTAATACTGGTCACTATGATTTCTTTAGTGCAAGAAATTGGGAATTGCTATTCCTGATATTGTTTTCCATTTTTCTTTTCATGATAGAGGAAGGTACGTCCCAAAAAATCATGTAAAGACAGAAGAAATCTATGTATAATCAAATTCCTTTTTTAATTTAGGGATGATGACTTGGCCACTGAGGTAGCGTGGGTTGCTGTGTATCTCTCAGCCCTTTCAAATGTTGCTACTGGTCTGCTAGTGAAGAGTGATGTCCTTCAACTGCTTTCGGAAAGATTGGCAACATCAAGTAGTTTGCAATTGCTCATTCCGGTAAAATATAACTGGGTTTGAAATTTTAATTGGAGTTCTTAACAGTCCACAGACTATGTTTACACATGCTTTTCCATCTAGGTTCTACGAAGTTTAGGCAATCTTGTCGCTGGGGATTTACACACGAGTTGTGCTGTTCTTGTTCCAGGACAAGAAATAACAGGCAAGTGAATCAATCCTTTTGCTAATACGAAAAGCGGTAAACTGATTATATATTTTACATAGATTATCTATATTACGAATTCCTAAAAAACAACTGCAGATAAAGTAATAGAAGTCCTTGCAAAATGTTTGAAGAGTGAGCACCGAGTGTTGAAGAAGGCAAGTTAGTTTCTCTTTGTTGTTTTGACATTATAATTAGTTGCAAAATGCAAGTTTTTCTTATGGGGAATAATCATCACTGATGTAGGAAGCAGCTTGGGTGCTATCTAATATAGCTGCTGGTTCCATAGAACACAAGCAGTTGATCTACTCGAGCGAGGCAGTGCCATTGCTATTGCGACTTCTTTCCACAGCACCATTTGATATAAGAAAGGAAGTAGCATACGTCCTAGGGAACCTTTGTGTTGCTCCGACAGGCAGTGACGGAAAGCCAAATCTGATCTTGGAGCACTTGGTTTCACTTGTTGGTAGAGGATGCCTCTCTGGTTTCATTGATCTGGTGAGATCCGCCGATATTGAGGCTGCTAGACTTGGGCTTCAATTCATGGAACTGGTTAGTAGAAAACGTAACGGCTATTTAGTCCTAGTTAAAACTCATATTGATTGTTCAGATACAATTGAGAGATACTGTTTTTTTATTTTTTATTTTTTAATAAATGTTCTGGTTCCTTGTGTTTTGTCACGTGCAGGTGTTGAGGGGGATGCCAAATGGAGAGGGCCCAAAGCTGGTTGAGCATGAGGATGGAATTGATGCCATGGAGAGATTTCAATTTCATGAAAACGAAGACCTTAGAAACATGGCAAATGGTCTAGTTGACAAGTACTTCGGTGAAGAGTATGGTCTTGATGAATAGGCCAATCGGCTTTTTGTGTCTCCTTTGTGAGGAATGTAATTATTTTTATGTGACACATGCAGTTTCTAGTTGACAACAAGACAGAAAACTGAATACAATTCTCTATTTCCGATTGGTGTTAATCTCTATGATATGTCCTGTAGACGATGTTAACATATTCATGGGGGCCGAGAGGCGTTCGCGCGGGGATGGGCCCGACGGGCTGGATGCCAGAAGGAGGCACTTATACTCCACGAGATGGCCTGGCTGTAACAGATTCAGAGATTGCAGTATTCAATCCTGGCGGCTTTAACAAAGGATTGCTCACTGTTTATAGGATTGGTTCTTTACCTTTACCCCGCTATTCCTCTGGAGGAGGTTTTTGGCCTGGAGGCACGGGGGCTCATCGAAGGGAGGCAGTTGCTAGGCTGGGGAGCAGGGGTGTAAAACCAGTTTGTTCTAATGATTAGATAGAAGGATATAATTTATGTCAAAAATTTGACCTCGGAGTATCGCAATGATATTTTACTGCGCTTTCAATAGGCGAAATATTTTGAATCAACCTTTGTAAGAAAAGTATACAATTAAGATGTCAAATTACAATAACAATGATTTAAGTATTAATACAAAAGTATGTATAAACAAAATAAAAATCCAAGAAAAGAATGCTCTACAATCTAAATCTAAATATTGAGGTTGTTGGGTGATAGGGGTCAGGAGGTGCACCAGAGAATCCCAACTAAGTTGGCACCCCTAGCACCCTCATCATCTACCCATCCCCAACATATTATTAATAAGAGAATGGAAAATATCAAAGCAAATCTAACGTCATGCGATCTAATTACATATCAAGAACGTTCTTAGAAACAAAACTAAACTTGTATATATGTTAAGCGGGGAAACGATGCAAAGCAGAAACTGACGCCATAAGGCATAGCCTGAACCACGCCTTTGATAGTCAGAATCTATGATAGATCTCATTAAAAACCTTGCTAGTAAACCCTATGGGAAAAACCTAGCAAGGAAAAAAGAGTGCCTACGCTTGCAAAGTAAAAATCCCCGCAAATCAACAAAATTCAAAAGTAAGCCTCGTACAATCATCTTCATTCGTTGACTGTCTTCACTCCGGGGTACTTTTCTGGTCCGAGTTGATCTTGATCTGTAAACAAAATAGATCAATAAATATGTGAAACAAAACAAGCATACTTGAGCTTTTCATATTAAATATCATATCTGCGACTTAAACACATGAACAAAAAATAAAAAAGTTAAACAGAATAATTACGTGGAGATCATAGTTTTGGATAATCCTCCCAACCACAACAGTTATATCATCCACCTTTCCTCCTTTGTGATGCTTCCCCTCCAATAAACTAGCTCTCACGAAAGGACAATCGCCATACTTGTCCAACGACTTGTAATACGCGGCTTCTGCTATCTCCCTCGCCAACTTCTCCTCCACCGTCTTTCCTTCTCTCTCTGCCTTCGCTACCATCGTCATCGCAATGATTTTCTCAATCTCCTCGACGTGCATGTTGTCCAGCAATCCATCGGTCCCGAGCACGACAAGGTCGTCCACCATAACCGTGACTTCCATTTGAATGGCCGAATCAGGACGGTCGCATGAGCTGTGGTTCCCTAACTGGTAGGGACAGTTGAAGCGGCGCTGCTGAGTCTGCGATTTGTACATCATTTTCCCGTCCCTGAACACCATGAACCCGCTGTCCCCGACATTCGCGGCGCGTAAAACCCCGTCGTTGTGGCTGACTATGCAAGCCGTGGACGCCCCTTGGACGCCAGTTGTGTTGGAGAAAGCCTCCTGGAGAATCTTCTTAGGATCACCTATCGGATTTCCGTCAGTTCCTTTTAGAGCTGCCACTGCATCAGCCGAGTTCTTCATGAGTTTGCGGGCGTAGTGGCCGGAGAAGCTTAAGAAAGTATATAGGCCAACTTTTTGTTATAGAAATTAATAGGTCATAACTTGTCAAGTTATAGTTTATAACCAGATAAATTATGGACAAACTTGTCAAGTTAGGATTCATAGTCGGATAAGTTATGGACAAAAATAGACAATAACTTGTCAAGTTATGATTCATAACTAGACAAGTTATGGACAAAAACAGTAATTTAACCTATTTATTAACTTATGTAAACTATTAACTTATTAATTTTAATTTATCTCAAATCTTAACTTATTTTTCTCTTTCTCCCTCTATATAATAGGAAAAATCAAACCCAAAACTCTAATTCTTTTGGGCCTAAGTAATTGGATGGAATGAACACCCCCAAAGCAAGTGAACAACAAATTTGAAACTCATGAGGCGATGTCGTTTTACTGGACCGTTGTTCTTGCTATATATGATGTCGTTTCCATATTGCTTCATTTTCAAATTTCAATCATCTTCGTGTTTATTGTTGAATTAGATTTTTTATTCGTTTCTCTTTTAACACATTTGATGAATTAGTTATTCTCATTTCTCAGAACAATGTTGCTCTCAGCGATGTTGTCGTTTACTGAGTTCGTCGTTTTGTAAGCCATATTGTTCTTGTCGTTTTTCGGCGAGACAGATCTCCTTGTCGTTTATAAAATTATCTCCTTCCCCATTCTTGTCGTTTACAAGAGACACTCATACAACATAATCGTTTTTCAATACTTGGATATTATCAGACTTGCACATAAATTTTTACAAAGTTTATTTAAAAGGTAAAGCTGCTGTCTTGAACACAGGGACCTGACCTTAGGGCTGCAACAGAACTCATAAAAGTTGACGGCGTATTCGACGCTATCATTCGGCACTTGAAAAAAGCGTAAGTGGAATTTCATCACTGTGGGATTAATTCTCGTTTAAGACTGGTCACTATGATTTCTTTAGTGCAAGAAATTGGGAATTGCTATTCCTGATATTGGTAGAGGATGCCTCTCTGGTTTCATTGATCTGGTGAGATCCGCCGATATTGAGGCGGCTAGACTTGTGCTTCAATTCATGGAACTGGTTAGTAGAAAACGTAACGGCTATTTAGTCCAATTGAAAGATACTGTTTAGTCCAAGTTAAAACTCATATTGATTGTTCAGATACAATTGAAAGATCCTGTTTTTTATGTTCTGGTTCCTTGTGTTTTGTCATGTGCAGGTGTTGAGGGGGATGCCAAATGGAGAGGGACCAAAGCTGGTTGAGCATGAGGATGGAATTGATGCCATGGAGAGATTTCAATACAAAATGGGAAAATATCATAACTTTTTCACATTAAAAAAAATAATAAACATGTATTGGAAATTAAATTATTTGATTGTCTGAATCTATCAACTTAATTTGTTGAGGTAATAAACTAACTATTCATTCTATTAGGGAATCTTGTACTGAGTTGATCCTACAATCGGGACTAAATTCTTAGAATCTAACATTTATCGAACACCCTAACTTATTATAGATTGATTAAGAATCTAAACGCAAGTCTTCAAAATTAAAAGCAAAGCTATGTGAAACGGGTTCAAACTTCATCAATCTCTAATATAAGAAAATGCTAATATTAATCTTAGATTATTAACAATCATGTATTTGTACCAACAATGTCGAACTGCAAATTTTTAATTGAAAAAAAAAAATATGACTGATCTACTCATAAATTCTCCAATTTACCGTAAAAGAATATCATGTACGTATTATTAACATTAACTTCTTTTTTTTTTTTTCCTAATAGAACTTTTATACATGTTTTGTACTCATTTGATTTAATTACGAGAGTCCTAGCCGTAGACCTTTTAGTTTTCTTTCTTCCTTTCTATATTTTATTTTT